TGGCATTTTAGATCTTTGGCATTCTTGTAAACGTCTCTCTTGGTTTTGCCTTTAAATTTGAAAGCGTTGTTCACAATTTTATCTTTTAAAAGACACAAACTTCAAGTGTAAGTTTAAAACTTACTTCTAACCCATGTCCTTAACTATCACATTTATTGTTTCACCAACTGAAAACCAAAGGGAAAGTCTGAGCACAAATGACTGTGATTTTGACTAGAAATTTCAGAATGTGACCTTTCCAAGGTGAAAAAGTGAACTGGAGTCTGATGCTGAGCACTTTGAGTCTGCAGAGTTTTTTTCTTGCAAGTAGCCATGAGAGTAGGAAGTTAGAAGGCAGAGGCAGGAGGTCAGACATAAGAGTCAAGGAAGTATGAATGACATCATCATCCCTAAGTACCCTCTCAGAAGATGAATGAGCTCTCTCTTGTATTACAATGCTAAAGAGCATTAGAAGGTGATATGATATCCAGACAACACAAAAGATAAATGCCTCAGAGGATGCTGGAACAGCTTCCCCCCCACGCCCTCAACGAGTTCATAAATCCTTTGGTGGTCTCAATAATACAATATGTGGCTGGTGAGTGTTATATATTGTGGTCAGCTTCTTCTTGACAAAATTCATTTTGGTTTAATGAGTACCTTGAACATTATCTAATTTAGTTACTTAAGCTGAACAACTCAGTGTAACTCTAGATAGCCTTTATCTCACCAGACTCACAGCCCTTTTGGGACACAGTGGATTTTTTTCAAGAGTTTCTGAATAAAAAGTAAGCAGAGGTTACAAGAAAAAAATGCCCTGTCTCTTTTAAAACTAACAAAAAATGTGTTTGTCATGATAAGTCTTGACACAAAGTGTTTTCATCTTGATAAAACTTGAAATGCAAGTTTCATGTTCTTAATGAAATCCTTCTGAAGGGAGTGCAGACCTCCAACAAAATATGCAGAGGTGCAGGAGTGTTCGAGGTACATTCAGTCAGAAGTGGATTCAGTTTGAATTTCAGTCTTTGTGCTTCAAAAGCACAGTTACTCCAGTATGATTTATAGTATTTTTTTTCTACAGTAGTTTGGGGATATGCAAAGCTGCAGTAGAATTTACTGCTCAGCCCCTCTTTTGGGTATGTAGACACCTCTTAGTATCCTCTGCAGGAAGATTTGATCAAAATATTTAATTGTGAGCCTGTTTCAAAAATTAAAAAGTAAAATTCCCTCAGTAGAAAATCAGCTTCAGTTTGGAGTAAAAATGGACTATGAATTTTTGCTGTACAGATTCATGGAGAGCAGAGTTCTTACGTATCATATTTAATTACTAAAATAATCTTTCCTTTTCTCAATATTTGCTTCTTTGTGATTTTTAGAGAAATAAAATTATTCTCATTGAAACAAAATGCAATAAAAGAAGACTCTTACTTAGGTCTAGCTAAATGCTGCTAAGTCCTTGATTCTAAAGCAAAACCTGTCAGACTTTTAGCAGTAATAGAAAAGTGGATCTTCCTTGACAAATGCCCCCATAAATTAGATATTAGCTTTAGTCAAACTCTGTCTCTCTCAGGAAATATTTCCACTTGCGTATTAAATTGGAAGGACCTTACATGATGCCCACTTACTGCTATGAAAATCTAGGCTTTGGAGATGAAGGCAAAGAAAAATTTCTGTGAGCAAAAGAATATCTGGAATAACAGACCTTGAACATATGCAGAGATTTCTTTTCATAGAATGTGAATTTCACTCACTTTTTGCTCTGTCTGTCTGCTGCTCTGTCCACCCTTCTATCTGTTTATCTGTTACCATCTCAGTGGTAATGTGCAATATCAATTGGATTTTAAAAGACATAGATCTCTTATACTAGCTGTCCTTTTTATAATACCTTTTACAAATTTAATCAATGCATTTTAATATACAATATAGTTTAAGTGCAATATATGATAAATATTCACGCTTCATCTTAAACATGCTCTAGCCTTTAAATTGTTAAAACTGCAGTGCCCTTTCAATCTACTTACATAATGTCATAAAATATACATTTCAAGGTAAATGAAGTCAGCTACTTCAATTTAGTCCCTCAAACTGGTAGTAAATGAGAGGTTAACACTATGGTGCCAAACCCATTATTGAGTAAATTTAGCACCTTGGACAGCTCTGTAAAATCTTTATTGCTTTCCTGACCTGCTCGTCATGTTCTGTCTATGTGTTCAGTGGCTCTCAGCTCTGATTGAAAGGCAATATATTAGATCCCGAACACAAACATGCTCGGGGGCTGCTTCACTGTGAGCGTAATGACACGGAGGTGAGAACAATTTTCTGGTCACCGCAATCCAAGCACCTTGCAAGGTCTGCTGCTCTAACACATAGAGGACTTCAGGGGCTCCTTTGTATGTGGAGCAGCTTCTATTGCAATTTAGGCAGAGCTGCAAAAGGTTTAAGATGCATTCAGAAAACGAGAAGTTAATATCTTGAGCCTATCTTTAGCAGCATTTTGTTGTGTGTTTTTAAAGCTGGTTTATGTCTATAAAAAGTACCATCAGCTCTGGAAGAGAAGATACCACTATTTTGCACAGGAGGGTTTTTCTGTAACATCTACTTTGTATGATCTGAAAATGTCATAAACAAGAAATGCTTTTCTTGTGTGAAAATATTGTTAGAGAAAGTATGAAACTCAAGTTTACAGACCCTGAAAATGTTGGGAAAAAAATATAATCATCGACTAGCTAAGAAAATTGAATGCTACTTGTCAAGAATGTTTCAATAAACCATCACGACAATTAGTTTTATTTACATGCAGTATGATATGGCATCAAAGAACTTCCAGTGTTTAAGAACTGAAATATATTTGATATGAGGGAGAGCAGCTGTAAGATTCTATGTAATTACCTCATTTTTTAACACGGTTTTCAATCTCCTTTTAGATGCACTCTAAGGTTTTTAGCTCAGCATTATATAAATAACTATGATTAGTCAGGTAGAGCAGAAATGACTATTTAAACTTTCTTTTTTTTTAGTAATTTGGCATAATGACAGCTTAGGCTAACAATATACCAAAGCAGTTTGCGGCCTCTGTATCACATTCTAATTTTCCATCAGTGAAATATGTACTGCAAACAATTTCTACTGAAGTGAAATAAATCCTGATTTGCAAAGTCAAACACCTGTGCAGTAATTTTCTATCTGAAATCATGGACTCAAAAAGAGAACATTTTTTCAGTAATGTCTCTGTTCTTCTCTAGTTTGTATCCTCAGTATGAGGCAAAAAGGGACCTCAGTGTTGTGAGGAATGAGGATTGCTTGTACCTGGATGCTGTTTGTGTCTGTCTGTCTGTCTGTGATTATACTGCTCACTGCTGTGGTCAAAAAACAAGAAAAAACCACCCCTCAATCCAACAACTGCAGCAGAAAACCAACCCCAATCTTAAAAATCAAGCAAACAAATGAAACAAACAAAACCCACCAACAGAAAAAGGCTGTAGCAACTTAACTCCTCAGACTCTGTTTCATGTGTAGTGATTTAAAAATCCATCAATTATGTATTACATCTCACCTCATATGTGGAAAATAATTTAAATGTGTATTCTGAGACAGGGGTGTGTGCAGCAGAAGGCAAACCTAAATGTTTACTGGGAGAACAAAAATCCTCCATCTCATTTTTGAATTTAGGACATTATATATGTCATAAGTAGTTACTGCAGTATGACAACTATTTTATGTTATATTATAGAGAATTTAAAATTGAAAAAAATGCTAATATGCATCTAAAAGCTTGTCATTTGAAGAGTTGTTCAAGGATTTTTGAAGAGGTTATGGTGACAGCAAAATGAACGCAATTATATCTCTATTTTCTGATCAGAGTCTACAGTATATGAAAATTGAGCATTACTGCTTCTTTTTGGTATAAAATATGGCTATTGTGTAAAATATTTTAAGTTTAAAAGTTGAACTTTGTAGAAAACTGCAAAATGCTTAGAACTGGTGCTATTTTTGTAAGCTGCTTGCAGAAATATGCCATGGTGAATAGCATCATGTTAGAATATTAGAGCAGTACTTAGGGGCTGGGAACTACAAAAATACATTGTTTTACTCAAAGGATGTTCTTGACCGATGTTGATCGGGCTTTTGGGAATCTGCTTTGAAAGATGCCATGAAATAATAAGGGAAAAAAATTCTTCTGGGTTAATTCTGCAATGCGTTTTTAGATTTTCTATCAGGATTATAATGAGGATGCTGTAAAATATAAGAACACAGGAAGTTATATTGTTACTTGAATACCAGTAGAAAATACTCTAAGAAATATTAAATTAAAAGAAGCAAATAAGAAAATGGAGGAAAAAATTGCCCAAAATGGAGAAATGAATCTCAGACTGTTTTAAAGTCTGCTGTCCATGCAAGGTATATTTCCAGGAAACACTGCATGGTCCTGGGCTGTTCTCTCACACACTGCATGTGTTTTCCTCTTGGGCATCATTCCATGCATGTGGATCCTGCCCTGACCCCTCGTGCCAGGACACAAAGTGGAGAAGCCAAAGGGTTACATTACAGTAGCACAGCACTGATTGGGTATCTTCTGAATGTGGCCTGCTGGGTAAGGTCACAATTCCTGCAGCATGCAATTAAGAATAAAATAAACACATTGAAGGGATTCATAACATTCTCTGAATGACATTGATTGCAGTAATCTAGTAAATGACCTCGGGATTGTATTCTGCAATAAACTCATGAGTGGTTTATAGTGCAGATGGTAGAGACAATTGAGTGATGTATTTTATTTTGCAGCACCAATGATTCTCACCTTTTGACTTGATTAAGCGTGTGTGTGAATAGGATGAACCAGTGATTTAACACCATTCAGTGGTTGCTGAGAGTTGTTACAATTAAGGTTTACCTGGTGGGAGGAAAAAAATAAAAAAAAAAACCCACTACAAAACACGGTGCACCTAATAGAAGAGAATATTTGTTTTCCCCACAAGGAGTTTATTGAACTCAGCAGAATGCTTCTGTTTTTATATTGACAGGAAGTAATACTTAAGAGGGCTGCTGATTTAGTAGAAGCACTCTATGGTATGCCACATAATAACCAGGTAAATGCATTCTACTTCAGCAATTCTGTATCATGGCTATTTCTTAGATGTATAGATAGATCAGGGCTAAAGGGATATGATGCTACAAATGAGAGACAAGAATAAATGTACATGCCGATGCCGTATCTGGATGGGGTTTAGTTTGCTTGTTTTCTTTTTTAAAGGGTGTGAATTTAGTGTTTGTAAAAACACCATGGAGGCATCTGCCCACTTTCACCAGATCCTATATAATATGAGTAATCTTGTACATTATGTCTTGCCACCAGTGACTTCTCCCTCTTCCCTTAAAGGGAGCTCTAAGGTGGAGCAAGTCCAGATTCCAGCCCCATCCTGCCAGCTGGTCTTTTTATACAAAGTGTGGCCACTGGGACTGAGACTTCCAACTCTCTTACCACAGATGTCAGGATTTAACAGGGAGATCCTGTAAGCATGAGCTCTCTGTCAGCCGGCTGGTTTAGAAAGAAAAGCATCTACTTTAGCCTTTGGACAGGGAAATGTTTCATTTGAGTCTGTAAGAAGACGTTTGTCAGAGTCTCTTTGGTAACTTTTCCATGTCTTTTTTCCTTATCCTGCAGGAGATAATCCTGAAAAGAGCTGCAGACATCGCCGAAGCACTCTACAGCGTCCCCCGCAACCACAACCAGCTCCCCGCCCTCGCCAACACCTCCGTCCACGCGGGAATGATGGGGGTGAATTCCTTCAGTGGCCAGCTCGCTGTCAATGTCTCTGAAGCCTCCCAAGCCACCAACCAGGGTCAGCAGAAGCCTCACCTTCCTCTCTCTATGGATTTTTTCTGAGAGAAGTCAGGGGGACGGGCAGGGCAGTGGCAGAGGGGTGGCTCAGGACTGGGAGCCCATCCCAGACCCTTGGGATGACACAGGATGGGGCTGCTCTAACAGGAAAAGCACTTCTGCATGTCTCTAAATAGCTTTTCATTCTGCCCAAAGCAACACTTGTATTTCTGTTTAAATCCCACTAATTTTAATCAGCTTCTAGCTGTACTTAACGTTAAGTACTTGCTTATATATTTTCCTGAGTATGGATGATCTCTCAGTCTGGGCCTTGTGTAGAACTTTTTTATAACATGAAGTTATCCCTTGAATGTTTATCTATTTAATTTGGGTTTGTTTTGCAAGAGATAGAGTATTGGAACTCTGTTTTTTTCAGTTTAAGACTTCCATAAATTTTACAACTAGCAAAGAATACAAATATTTAAAAAGACATTTTCAGAGTTTTTCCAATTTTTAAAATAAAGTGTTTTTCACTTTGTATAAAATCAGTATTGGTTTAAAATAAAAGTTATAAATAAAAAATAGGTGAAGAACATTTTTGTAGAAGCACTTTGCATTTCGCCCTCTTCTTTGCTCAGCTCTATATATTATCCAACTTAAAAATGCATTTGAATGAGAAAGTGTTAGGATGAGGCTCCTTCTAGAAGAGCAGAAACAAAATTTTTTGCATTACAATAAAAACATGCAAAATTATTTTTAGACTGAAATATTTTATGCTGTGTGTTAGGAAGAAAAATTGGCAATTTTTTCTTCTAGTAGTAGAGATGCATATTTTGTATTTCTGTGGCTTCTAGAAACAAATCTTTCCTTATGAACATTTGGATATGAGTTTCTTAAAATGTCATTTCCAGAATTAGGTAGAGATTCAAATTTTAACTTGCTGTCAAATTTGATGCTCATTTCCCACCAACATAATGATGAGACCAAGGCAAAAAGACAAAGGATATCCCACAAGCTGGAGAAATACACTCCATTTCCTGAAGTGTGCAGTGAGCATCTGAGGTGTGCTAAATGACAGTGACATCAGAAAAGAGTTAACAACAGTCAGGTGCTTTTAACATACCTTGAGTGGGTCTGGACTCCTGCCTCTGAAAATGTAGGTCATGTTTACTCCATTTCCTACAAGCAGCCCTTTCAGAGCGAGTGTTCCTCCAACACCCCGAGCTGATTTTTGCTCCAGGGCATCCCTGGCTTGCCTGGGGGGCTCTGCAGGCTCCAGCCTCCCTCCTCCAGCAGCGACCTGGGCAGGGGGAGCTCCCAGTTTGGGTACCTGGTGGTGCTGGGGGTCAGTCCTTGCCCTCCCTGGCTGGACTGAGCTCCCCCTTGGTTTGTGCAGGAAGCTGTTGTGGGGCTAATTCCAGTTTTTGCCTGTGTTCCCTCCCCACACAAGGTTTCACTCGCAACTCCAGCAGTGTGTCACCTCATGGCTACGTGCCAAGCACCACCCCGCAGCAGACAAACTACAACTCTGTCACAACAAGCATGAATGGCTATGGGAATGCTGGAATGTCAAATTTAGGCGGTTCTCCGACCTTCCTGAATGGATCTGCTGCCAATTCTCCCTATGCCAGTGAGTATTTTATGTCTTTTCCGTATTTTGCACATTTTCATTAGAAGGGGGCAGTAGATTTTCTCTGATGCTCAGTATTTATTTTCTGTTTTTAGCACTTGAAATAGAACTTGGTTTTTTTCTCTACTTTTCAAGGCACTGATCTTTGATCCACTTTGAAGACCCTAGTGTGCCAGTAATTCTCCTCCCTGTTTTCATATTGCTATTATTAATTATTATTATTTTTTATTTGGGAGGCTTAAAAGAGCTTACAAAGAGTAATCTCTCATTATTTAGTCTGACAGTTTCTTAACATACCTTACACTCTAAAAAGACAGACTGTCCTCAACTTCTGAGCAAATAATAGGTTTATAACCTTTATAAAAATTATGAATTACTACTGGTCCTCAGCTTGATTGTTTATATTCCACTTGCTTTGTAAGTAATATTACTTTGACTTCACTGAGTCAGTAAAATGTGACAAAGGCTTTTAGATTTTGTGTTTTAGTGTCAGTACAGTGAATGCCACAGAAATGTGAGTCACACAAATCATACATCCCATGGCGTGAAGAGCTTATGGTCTACAATCCCAGTCATGGAAATATTTATGTGCAGGACTAACTTTCTGCATTTTGATATTAAAGGTTTAGTAAGCTGTTTAAATATAAATACATTTCTATTGGTAAAGTGAAGCTCTTCTGCAGCTGAGCTCAGTAGTCCCTGGTCACATGAGAAATTGAATGAGCAGAACCTGCCCAATTCCTCTGACATTGCTCATGAGGCACAAAGGATTCCACTGACATCTGTAGGAAGCTGACAGCAGAATCAGGATGGAAGGTCTGGACATATAAACAGATTTATAGGCTGGGACTGTAGCATGGACAGGACAAACTGACTGCTGAAGGCACCAAGGTTTACACAGCAAATCTGAAGTTAATGGTGTAACAGCAGTAATGAATTATTTTGATCTGCATCAGAATAAAAAAGGGGATAAGAACTCTGAATAAAATAATTAACTCCAAGGCTTCTTCTCTGCTGCAAATTTAGAACAAATTATTTACCCACATAACTAGTACTTATAACCTGGGAGTTGCTAACCAGTGATTATTTTTGTACTCTAATAATAATGTAACATGTAATGTTACAAAGTACCTTACTTATTAAGTTGGATTTACTGTCACAGAATCTGCACACTCTGAATTCATAATATAACATGATTGATGAGACATCTCCTTTTGGAAGCAGATGCCAGTAATGCATTTTAAATACTGTGGCAGTATTATTTCATATTTATGAACGGAGCCCTCTTTAGAATAGCACTTCACTTCCTAGCCCTGGATCTCTATTCTATTTATATTTTGGGAGGTTTTCTTGGTTGATCTGTCATTCTGCTAATGTCTAATCCATTGAATCAGAAAATGCTTCAATCATGACCTGAAAATTAAAAGGTGGCATTCTTAATTAAATCAATAAACTAATTGCTGTATAGTAGCAATTCAATTTAGGTGCTTTGATTGCTCTCCCTTAGCAAGTACTTCCAGACACAGAGTGACTTCAGACTAAGATTGTATCTGTCAGACTGTGAAACTTTGAACATTTAATTTCCATTAATTGATTTCCTCAGTGTTAACAAATATGATACCAGATTCTCAAATAAGAACTTAAATAGGGTGATTTTTATCTACATAAATGCAAATAAAATAATAATTCAAAGCCCAGATGATCAGAATTTTACTCTACAATATGTAATTATTCACAGCCCACTTGTGTATCTAAGCGGTTTCTAAACAGGACAAAGAATAGAAATATGGGATGTCACTTTTGGTCCTGTTTTTTGTTGTTGTCGTTGGATAAGAGGAGAAATCGCAAGGGAGAAACCTTCTGAATATTAAAGTAGTTAGCTTTATTTTCATGAAAAGAAATTTTTTTAAAAGCTTGATGGTAAATACATTAACCAAAGATATTTGTTGTGCTTTACAGTAAAATAATGTCTTAAGGATATCTGTGTTTAAAGACTGAACTTCCCACGTAGCACATTTGCATTTTGAACACTCAGCTCAGCCCTAAAAAAATCGAGAGCATCCAGGAATGAGAATTCTCTTGTTTCTGCAACCTGTTATCACTGAGTACTAAGGAATGCCTTTTTGGGGGTCTTTCTTCCCTGCAGTTGTGCCATCAAGTCCGACGATGGCCTCCTCCACTAGCCTCCCCTCCAACTGTAGCAGCTCCTCTGGGATTTTCTCCTTCTCACCAGCCAACATGGTCTCAGCGGTGAAACAGAAGAGTGCGTTTGCGCCTGTCGTGAGACCCCAAACCTCCCCCCCTCCCACCTGCACCAGCACCAATGGCAATAGCCTGCAAGGTAGGTGGAACCCAGCTGCACAGGAGCTGCCTGCCTCCGAGCTGCCCCCGGGGAGCCAAGGCAATGGGGGATGCCCGGTGGGCTCTGTCCTAAAGTTTCCTCCTGTAGGGAGTAACCGGCTCCACCCCCAGCCCACCTTGTAGCCTGCAGGTGTTTGGCAGCGCCCAATCTCTAACCCAGCTAACGCTGCTGAATTGCCAGGCTGTGTCTTTTGAAGCACGGACCTACTGTTTTGATAAACACGAGTAATATGTCAGCTTACTAATACCGTCCTTTTTCTTTCTTTCCTCTCTTATTCCCTGTTGTCGTCCTTTATCAGACCAGTCTTTTGTGGACTCTAGCAAGTACTCCACTGCAGGGTCTCTCCAGGGGCTGGCCTTCTCCTGAAGTACGTCACTCAATCTTCCCTTTCTTTTTGTCCTTTGTCACAGTACACTTGTGCAGAAATCCTACTGAGAGCAAATAGAGCGTTACAGAGCTTGGCACAAACCTTCCCTTTCATAAATGGGAGATGCATTACAAACTAACAGCAGCGTTTTCCACTTTAACTCACACCAGGGCAAACATTACTTTCCACTGATTAATATACTCCTGTGCCAATTAATTCCAGAAAAGGCACAGGGCCTTTTGGAAAGCCTATTGAACTGTTGGTATCAAGGGGCTGCTCCTTTTCTGCATCCCTTCCCCTGTCATTACAAGTTCTCCAGCATTAGTATCTAAATCCGTTTGAAGGGCTGGTGCAGGCGAGGCAGTGACAGACAAAAGCTTGTCAAACTGAGGGTGCTGCAAAGCCCAGCACTGCCCATCTCGTTGTTTGGCTGAGTCTGTTTCACAACACTGTGCCTAAACTTCCCTCACTGCACATCCCTGTGCTGAGAGAGGCATTTTCATGCTTGCTTAGATCCAGGGGCTTCCTTAAGAGGATGCAGCCAGCTGCCTCCAGCTGCCAGAGGTGGGAGATATTCCATGGTGTGCATTGTGCTTCCTCCAGACCTGAGATTTGTTTCCTTTCCATGAGCCTGTGCAAATTATCCAAAGGGCATTGAGTGGGGAATAAAATCCATCCTTTTTTAAGCCAGGTTCAGAAGGAGGTGTGCAGAGCATGACTGCACAAACTCCACATATTGCTCAGCCTCAGGAACACTGGGCTTGAAGACAAAATGCTGATAACACCATTAGCAGCCAAAAAAAAAAAATCTATATGCAAGCAGAATGGAAGGAATTCATTCATAAAAGCTCAGATCTATTGTGCCTGAAGGAAAGCATTGTCCTCACTGCATGTTACACTGGTGAACTGGGAGGAGGAATCCTTCAAGGTGCACACACACAGAGAAAAACTGTGCAGAAACTGTAAATTTACTCAGAACTAATAAGCAGATCTTGGGTACCTTCAGTTAGGACTTTGTTAGAAATACAAATTGTGTCAGGAATAAGACAAAATGAAATTTTCAGGTAAACTACAGCATTTAGGAGATTTGGTTTTGAACATTTAAAAGAATTGGCAGTGCTGACATGCTTGAAGTTTTAAAAGAAACAGCGAATAATATTTCCCATCTGAAATTAAAAAAAAATCTTAAAAAAAAAGCTTTTGAACATGTTAATGTATTTTTTCCTCTCTTCACCTTGTCCCATCTTGTTGTGGATGAAGAGAAAAAACAAGTAACAGGAGAAAGCTTTTCCAGGCACTGTTTCTCCTTTCACAGAATTCTCAGATTCCATGTAGTCAGTTATGAAAAGCAATTATGGAAGGGGCTGAGAGCATGGGACACAACTGGAGCTGTCTGATTGCCTCCTCATTATGTCACCTCCACTTCTGCCATGCCCAGAAACCACACAGATCTGAGCATGTCCCCTAATTTTTGTTTAGCAATTCAGTTTTCGTAATGGGAATGAGACACCAAGAGATGGTTCATTTCTAGGTCATCACTGAACTTCTTGGTGAGTTAAAGACACAGAGCCTTTGGTCCAGAGCCTCCTGACACCACCTGAGGCTTGTAATAATCACTCAGAGATGCACTGCCTGTTGTGCCTTAATGCTTAAATAAACAACCATGTATAAGGAGGCTGTCTTATCTCTCTTGGGCTTCTGGATACATCAGAAAGCAATCAAGCTTTCCTTATGTAGCTTAGATATCAGCAGAACTCACTAAAACAGCAGCCAGGCTTATCTGTTGTTCTCTTTGCCATGCAATTTTGTAAAACCCCAAATACATTATTTCTGTAATTTGCTGGCAGCAAATACAAATTAGTATATGATAGAAGAAATAAAGGCCATTGGTGGGAGCTTTTCTATTCTCTGCCCTCCCTTTTTGGAGGTGGTGTGATCTCATACCTACACTGTTTCCCACTGATATCTCTGTTTTCAGGATCAATAACAGGCTACAGCTGGGAGAATTTGCATGACTAGATGTAGCACTTATGGAATAAAAGTGGAGTGATCTAAATGAAGACTTGGAAAGAATGGAAATATCAAAGCTTTTAGGCAGAAAAGTATCATTTGCCTTGTAATTTAATTCAGAATTTCAGAGCTCTTCAAAAACAATGATGCTTTGAAAAAAGGAGCTAAGATCTGCCTCTGTGCTATTCGTTTCCAACAGCAAAAGGCTGATCTGTAACCACAGGGAAATGTCTAAATCATGAAGGGAGGAATTGCAATTATCTCACCTTTTTTGGGCTCCTACCCAGGGCAGACAGCTGTCCTGTCCCAAGAGACAATTCTTGACCAATTATTGGTGAAATTGATTTGCTTCTGATGAATCTTTCAGAATGAGTGTTGGAATAGTATCGTGACATTTTCTGAAGAAAAGTTACTTTTTCTAATGGAAAGCAACACCTTGTCCTAAAGAGTCCTCTATGCTTCTCACCCAAATGTTTTCCTGTAGGACTTAAAGCAACTTAACTCACCTTTCTATCCCTTTTTTCCTCATTCTTAGCTGCTTGAAGAACCCTCATGTGGGGGGACACAATCAGTACAGTGATTCCACACGATAAATTCCAATAATTGAAATGCTGTTGCTCTGTGCCACCTCTGAGGGTGGCCTGCTGCAAACATGTTGGATGTGTTTTGCATTCTCTCCTTCTCCCCTCATTTTATTTCATTTAATCAGTGCAGTTTACTCGAGCTGTTCTCCCCTTGCTGATTAGACTTGTAATTCTTGCACATATGGTGGTGTTTGTGGAGAAAACATTTCCCTCCTCTCCCCCTCCAACCCCAAATCTGTGAGTCTTTTACTTTGGCTCTGTTCTTATCAAATAATTGCAGCTGTAATTAAAGCACAATGAATCAGCACCAGTCACAGGGTTGAGTCCTTCCTTAAGAAATTACACGTCCAGATGTCTGGAATGGCAGGCAGCATTTAAATCATGTGCCTGGAAAATGCTGCCAACCTGAAGGAGAATCTGTTTTCTACCTTTTGGCAAATAACTGTACAACTGGCATTTTAGAGACACGTTGTTTTTACAGTTTCCATCATAAACTTCCATGACTCCCCCATGTAATGATGTGCCTGCTCAGTGTGTGTCACTGGGACACTCAGAATGTCTGATCTGAGACCCCTGCAACAGAAAGAGATCGAGCTGGAGGTCAGCTTATGTGCAAAACTGTCCCTGTTGAATTTTCATAAATGTCTGTCTGCTAAGAGAGGTGCTGGTTTCATAGAAAATGAGGTAGGAAGCATAATAAAGAAATGCTGATGATTCAACTTAGCCAGCAAAAGAGAAAACATCCTGAATTAACATTCACCTATGACTCACCTGATGTAGCTGGTGGTGTCTGCTACAAGTGAAATCAGAAAGATGCTGGCCTGCTAACCCAGGAGTCAAGCACGTATTTCAATTTCAAAACTGGATTTGAGAGTTTAAGTCCTTTTCTGAGCTCCTGGAAATGCATACCTGAGTCCCAGGGGTGAGCACTGACCTTTGGGAGGACTGGCACAGGGGAATGACCCTGTGCCACCAAGGGGACACCCTGCAGGGCCATGCCAGGGGGACTCCAGCTGTTTTCCCTAATTTGGTGCATTTTTCCCTAATTTGGTGCAAATTCCTTCTTTGCTTTTAAAAGAGTTACAGAATGTGTGGCGATGGCTGGGTCGAGCCAAAGCTTCCTCAGCATTCGGGGATTTTGAAACTTAAAGCAGAAAAATAAGTTGGAGTCTCATACTGATATTGAAGGACACTTTTTCTACAAGTAATTCAGTAATTTCAGCAAAGTCACTTGCAATTTGAATAATTTTCCAGTCAAAAGGAAACTTCTCATGGTTCCTGTGTACATAGTTGTCTCTTATGAGTGATATATATAAATTGAACTCAAAGTACATCTGACTACATTGCTAGTAAATGTTTAAAGCTCTGAGAATTTTAAAAGTTGCTTAATAATGCAGAAAATTAACTTTTCCCCTCTCTCTCTCCCTCTCTCTCCCCCCTCCCTTTCTTTCCAACAGCTATATCTGGCATGATTGTTCCCCCCATGTGAAAGAATTGCCTTGAAGAATTTTATTAATGAAGAGGTTGAATTCTGCTTCAGAGAGAATCTGATACAAGTCCCAGAGTGGAACTTTTAACTCAGGCCTTTTTAAAAATAAAAAAGAAATAAAGAAGGATCTTACAATAACTGCAGATTTTTAAACAAAGCAAAAATCACCATCCTTGCAAATACTGAAATTAACAATCCACAATTGCAAGGTGTTGATTCGAGTTGTCCATCCCAAATACCTGGGAGATATATTTATTGTATGTTGATAAAAAAATCCACTTTTTTTTTTTTTTTTTTTTTTTTTGTTGGTGGGGGGTGGGGGTTTGCTTTTATTTCCTTCTGATTTCTTGTGGGTTTTTTTTAAGGCTTGATTTAACTCAACACCATTTGTCTTTTATAAATCATACAATTACACAAGGGACACTAGAAATGGAACTCCACATTTTTAATTTATGAATTTTTTTTTTTTAAAGCTGTGTAAAGAAGAATAAAGTGGTGTCATTTACATACAAGCCTGTATGGGACAGAATAGAAGTGCCAGTTAGTTTTTCATAGAAGAATTATGGCCATTTAATTAAGGGTCGGCTCATATATGTTGCTTAACCAGTGGTGACTTGCTGATATGAAGCATTTTTAATGTTCTGATTAAACAGATATCACTCCCTAAAAAGCTGATATTTTTGGATTATGAGGGTGGGGTGAGGGGTGGGATTGACAACCTCTGTCTTTAATATCAGGCTGAAAAACTGTAAATAACACAACAGGAAGAGTCCATCCCAGAACACCAGGTTGGGAGGAGACCTTAAGGTCCAACTTGGCGAAAAGCTGTTGGAAGGGGAGGGAAGGGAAGGGTGGAAATATCAAAAATGTTTCCTGTGGCAGTGCAAACCCAGTGCCTGTGGATGCAATGCCAGCCCTGCTGGGGGGGTGAGCACGGACCCCTCTCTTGGGGGTGAAATCTCAGAGCCTCCAAACGCTCCCTTCCCCGAGCACAGCCTCACCTGGGCTCTGCCCTGTGCCTTTGGCACAGCCTGGGCCATCCCTGGGGGTTCCCAGCGTGGCCCCTCTCCCCCTGGTCCTGCTGGGGCAGGGTGGGCTCAGCCTCGGGGGGGTTTCACCCTCCCCACCCCAAATCCCTGCTGGCCCAGCTCCCACTGGCCCGTTCCTGTATCAGCCGACCCTCGCGGTGTGTACCACGCTCTCTCCAGGACAGGGAACTGCTTTTGAGTTTGGGCTGGGGCTTTCAAATCAAAACCATGGCTTCTGTTTTACCACGAAAAATTTTGCTATCATTATCTGGGAAGTGTTCTTAAAAATTATTAGTCAAAGAGGCAGCAAAGCTCTGAAGATGCATTACCTGATATTTTTTCTTTGCTGTTGTGTTTTGTATGTAGTTATAAATACTGTAGATTTTTTGTGATTTTTTGCCAAAGTTGTTGTTCTATTTATACATTTTAATGTCTTAAGACAGTTTTTCAATATCACAAAAAAAAAAAAAAAGAATTTTACTGCATATTTTGCAAAAAGAGCTCACTACCTTTAGCTTGCACATACTTGCAAATTAATTAAAGAAAAAAAAAGCTTTTTGTTTCTGTTTTTTTGTTTGTTTGTTTTAAGGGGGATTTTGTAAAATATCCATATAAATAATGTATTTATCTTTGGAATTTGTACATTGCTTTTTTGTCCCCCACAAGTTTATTTTATTGTGTATGTTTGCTATGTGAAAAGTGCTGATTTGTTTGGTCATTCACCGTTGTATTAGCTGTTTAAATGTGATTTTAATACATTTCATTTATAGGGTTGTTTTTTTTAGTATTGTTTAAAACCATGCTTCCATTTTTTTTTTAATTTCCACCCAAAAGCCATTGTCTATTTTTGTATTATTTGTAAGTTAAGAAGTTTTTTCCAATATATGGCAAAAAGTAGCATATTATTCTTGTAGCATTTAGTTATGTAGATTTAAAAAAAAAATGTATCCTTTGCTTTTGAGGCTTAACAAAAACTAATGCTGTTTTACTCTATTAATATGCATGGGATTTCTCCTCTTTGGAGTGACGCATTTTTGTGCATTAAATATGGGGAGAAACTTCATAGAACTCAATGAAAATACTTTCTTTCTTAAGTCTGCTTGTATATTTCTCTGTCTTTCACATAAATATAAACCAGCAGATTGGATGCCTTAACAATGCAAATCATATTCATTTCACTTGTACATTGTACTGTGCACCAGAACTGTCAATCATCACTAACATTCTAAGAAAAAAAAAAAAAAGGAATTGAAAAGCACAAAAGAACTGTTTTGTTACCTTAAAACAATATAACTTTTTTCTAGTCGAGCAAGAAATCATTTACAACGATGCTGCAACTGTGCATGCTTCCTGTATGAATTTTGCAATGGTTTTCACTAGAATGTCACAGTGTGATCTTTGGGGGGAAGGGAAAGAAAAACAGGATTTTTTTTTTTTCGTGGCAAGAAAATAAAAGAAGAGAAAACTGGAAAAAATGTGAGAGACATCAGTTTATTGCTTCTCTGTATTCCAAGCAATTATTCTAATTCACATAATAAGCAACAGCACGACAATGTAATCAAATTTAAAGCCATATTTTGTCCAGTGACACCGTCGATTACTCTTGTAGAGCTCCACTCAGTCCTAGCAGTTCTGACACCACTTCAGCCACATTTGTAGTCTCTACTCCAGTGTCCAAAGAGCCTTTGACAATGTGCTTAATTCCATTCTTTTGCAGCTATTTGTCGTGATCTGATGAATGGGAATTTGTCAAAAATCTCCCCTGCACCACCCTTTGTCTTTTACAAAGTAAAAGATGCAGCTGTTTACAGAATATGGCTTTAAGTGGAAACATTCAGATTTCAGTTTTAACAAGGTGAAGCTTCACAATGACTGGATTGCATCAAGTAATGCCTATTTCCTCACAGTTGTACTAGGATGCAGCTAAAATGAAGTCATCTCTGAAACTACTAACCTTTCACCTTCTTATCTAAATCTTTTTGAATAGACACACACACTGTACAGTTCTATTGTTAGAGAAACTAACTACTGTAGAGATTGTTATAATTTTTTTGCAGAAATTCAAGCTGTAAAAACTTTTCAACTTTCACAATATTTAATTAAAGTTACTTCCTGTCTGTGAATACAGCTCTTAGTTGTGTGTTTATTTTTTTGCCTCTGCTAGTCAGTAGATGAGAAAAAAAAAGAATATAGAAGACAGAGGCTACTGAATTGTCTTTCTGAAATTAAGGAGAGACAGAAATTCATGGAATTATACAGTGAAACGTGGTGAATGCTGGTGCACTGAAATGCCTTTCCCTCTGTCTCTAATGGATTTCAAAGGATCCTCACTCAGAATGCTGAATGTTCACCCTGTTAATCTTATTATTTCCATTGTTTCACAGTATTGTTTGCCCGTAGGACCAACATATTTTTTCTAGTGGATTTCAGGGGCATATTTAGCTTTAGGTGCTCAGTTGCAAGAGCTGTCTGTCTCTAAACACAGTGATCATGGAGCACCAGGCACATCCTACCCTGTGCCAGAGACCCAGGCAGTGGGGAGTTTTTATCTGGGTCTTATTTCAGGCAGTGGCAGCACGTCCAGGTGTCAGTGAGAGCTCAAGGCCAGCTCCAGGAACTGCCTCTGCCTGTGCTGAGCTCCTTGACCATGAAGATGCTCCTACAAAGGGTTTCCATTCTTCTACCCTTCCCAAATGACAAATCCATCAGCTGCTAGATTGGTTCCAGGCATTCTGTTTCACTCTGTACCCCTCTGACAGGAGGAACTTTACCTCTGGCATATGAAGGGCTGACGCTGGCATTTAATTTCTCTGTCACACAGAGAAAGCACCAGACCTAAAGCAAGGCTCCCAGGAAGGAATAGGAGTGCTGGGTGTTTCAGTTTAAATTAAAACTTAAAAAAAAACTTTTAAATTAAAACTTTAAAAAAAATGAAGTAATGAAGTTGCTAAGAAATAAGCAGCTGGAAGTGGCTTCTTGCAATGTGAAGTGTTGGGTATCTCTTAAATGTGAGCAGATCCACTCCAGTAGTTGTTAGAGAAAGGAGAGATGTTGGCAAAGTCAGACCCAAAAGTGTTTATACTGTCAGCACAAGAGATCTGTTTTTTCTGTCTGAGATAATTCTCCTGGTTCTCTTTCAAATGGTGTGAATATTGGCAGCTCTCACTGCAAGCTGAGGGCTCTGTGAGTGCTCAGCTCTCTAAAAAGATGTTGGGTCAGTGTATCTGAAAAGCAGGCTGAGGGATTAAATTCAGGATGTATATAACCTGTAATAATGCAGCAGAACAAGATCTTTGCTTCAGCCTTTTGGACCCAGAGACAATGGATTTGTTTGAAATTTAAATTGAGTCACATTTCACTAGAAAGGGGGGTTAGGATGGCAGGAGGCTGCTGGCTCAGAGGCTGGTCACTGCCTCCTTGTCCACCCACCAGTTGTGCTCACTCCTTCCTGTCGTTTGCCACCTCCTGCCTGTCCCACACCATTTTCTCCATGAAATAATGACTGTTTGGGCCCCATTTGACATCTCTCTTTCCTCTACTTCCCAGCAGGTGCTGGCTCTGGCATCTCTTTTCCCCAGCATCTAATGCTGATATTTCAGTAGCGGAGGTCAGGTCAATACTTCAGATAAATAAGTAATAGCTCCAACTCCTCAGCCCTCTCCACTCTTCCTCCCCTTGGTGCCCTTGAGGATAGAGCTAGACCAGAGCTTATGGCACTGCTCCAACGTGATTGGCAGGCCATGAGAAAGAGCACACAGCTTAGAAAACTTTAATAAAGTAATTCCAGGGCACAAATACCAGTGACTACCCAGGTCACAGCCTAACAGCAGGCACTGCAGTTCTAGGTGGCTTTTTTAAATGTGGGCCTCCAGCAGAATAGCAAATACAGTGGCCTAACTTATTTTCCCCCTAATTTTCAATGAAAAGCCCAAACTTCATCACTAATGTGTATGTACACTTGAAGAACTCAATGAAAAAAAATTATTTAGATGATTTTTTAACACTTCCCTGAAACATATAATAAACTCTGTTCTATATGGGACCATCTAACTTAACTCTGCTTTGTATAAAGGAAGTTATTCCCTCTTTTTCATTAAATAATATGAATCCCTAATTTTCACACATTCATTCATGGCAAAATGTATCTTGTACTGTGAGCCCTTAAAAAAATGTAAGCAGGTTTGGAACAGTCTCACTATGGTGATTCACTGCAGCCTGGCAGCCCTGGGCCAAGTGCATGAAAAAGGGAAGGACTGATGATGCTGTAGGTCTGCACAAGCTCTCAAGGGGCTCAGTTACCTGGTTTGGGATAACTCAGGATAAATTCACCACTGAGGATGCCTCTGTGGCTCCCTGTAGGGGGGCAGCAGCCCAGAGCAGACCTTGCACAGGAGGCACAAAAGTGCAGCTGTGTTTGTGCCCCTGCCTGTGCTCAGGTGGGAAACTCTGAGAGCCATGGGAAGCAAGGCCTGAGGTGACCCTGGCCATAAAATTTGACTTTTTTGCAGGATCTAGAGGTAAAGGGAGCACACAAAAATGTTCATTTCCACTCCGTGCCAGACCCACACGGTGCCCCCCAGCTTTGCAGGGTCCTGCCCAGGGGAGGGCTCTGCCTCCTGCCCCTTTTCCGTGGAGCTCTGCTCACACTGCTCACCCAGCCTGCCCCAGGCACTGCCTCGCTCCCCCACCTCGCCACCATTAACTGTGCCTTCAGCCTCTGCTGCATCATTGCCTCCTCCTGAGGGTTCCCTATTTATATAGAGGGGAAAATGCTGTTGCTGGGACTGGAAATATTTTGTTACCTTTTTCTGCTTAAGTGCGAGGCATTTTTATCTGTGATCTCTGGAGACTTATGCTACAGTGGGACTGATTTTATCCACTTACTCAATGCACTTTAGTTCAATAATGATTACAGAACTTCTACATAATATATTAGGTATAGCTGATTTCCCAGGGTTTGTAGCCCTCCATCTCCCCAAGCATTTAAAAAGGAATCTCTCTGTGATAGGGATGTTATGAATGATACACTCCTCAACAGTCATGATGTAAAAGTAAGAGCAGCAGTGGGCCAGGCAGGCAGAGGAAGGCACTCAGCTGGAAAATGCCAAAGCCTGTGGATAATGCAAGCCAAGAGCAATGACTTGCTTTGTTCATTTTATCACTGCTCCTTGGTGCATCAGCAGCACTTGCAATCGAGTTCAGGCAACCCAAAGCTCTCTCTCCATCACCTTAACACAGTCTGAGACTTTTGGCAATTCACTGGCTCCACTGCAGGGCTGGGTTGACCTGGTCTCTCTTTCTCACTCACCCTCTTTTTGTTTTTAACTACAAGTTGAGCTTTTCAGCTTGCCCAGCTGTGGGTTTAGCAGCCACGAGTGGCCCTGTCTCTGCCAGCACTGCCAGCCCTGAGGGGCTGCAGAAAGCCTGTACATTTGTTTTGTTCAATAGCAGAATTGTTTGTGGTCACAGCCCCCTGCACACCTGAGGTTGCACCGTGTGCCCAGACCTGGTTCTCAGCTTTCCTCAGCCTGAGAGGCTTTCTAGGCACATTTCCCCATCACAGAGATTGCAAGGCTTCTCCATTCTCTGCTATCCCAGATGTTAATAATCCTCTGCCTGTGTGTTCTCCACCTGCCCTCCCTGGCCTGGCTGTTCAGCACCCTGATGGCAGAGGGCATACAGCTCCTCTCCACAAAGCCCAATCCTGGCTCCTTCAAAGCCTATTCATTTCCCCAGGAAGTTTTCTACACTGGATCAAGCATCCTGAGCCACCTTGCTCACCTTACTCTCATCAGCCTCCCCAGGTGGTGATGGTGCTCTTTTTTGTAATTAAAAGCCCAATTTTAATCCATTTTCTGGCAATATTTCCATTTCAGTAACACTTTTTTTGGCAGCAAGTTCCACAGGTTCGTTGCTGGAGTTTCTCCTGGTGCAATGGGGCTGCAGCAGACCTGCAGGGATGGGGACAGGGGTGGCTGGGAATGCTCCAGCCCCTGGCCCAGAGGGGCAGCCCAGGGCACTCCCATCACTGCCTCAGCCCCTGACTGATGGCAGGAAACAGCAACAGGAAAGTTGCTACCAGCTAACAGCTGTTTCAACAGTTTTAATCACAGGGTGAGCTGCGAGATAAATAAATAAATAAAGCCTATGAAGTGACAAAACAAATGGCCTGGTACTGGAGACAGATTTGAAGCTTCTGGCTGCCTTCGCAGGAGAGCAGCCTGTGAGCTCTCACCCTCCCTCCCCCAAATAATTAATTTATCACTTAGCAGCGCTGTGGCTCTGCAGAAGGCGCCTGGAGGTGGTGTTTGAAGGTGAACTGCAGCCCTCTGGAGGGGCCCCTGGGGCTGGGCAAAGAGGCAGCTGAGTTCTGGAGCCTACAGGTGATGGCAGGGGGATTTATATCAACCTGCTCCAGCTACCATGAGCCAGCACGAGCTATTTTGTTCTGCCATCACAAATCACTGTTATGCCCTTTCTGCCTTAAACACTATGGATCAGCTATAACAACACTTGATATTTATTTTATTTCAACTATCACTCTGATTTGTCAGGTGTATTTTTTATGCACAGCAGGTGTACCCTAATGGGGTTAGGGAATAAACAGCAAATTGATGGGCTTACACACCCATTAGCTAATGGGTTACTAAGCAAAAGGGACTCTGTTTAACCCCACTGCACTTAGCCCACTGCTAGGAGGAATGTTAAAGACTATAAGCTAACACTCAAATGTCTCTCCATGGACCCAGGGGAAGAGAGCTCAAACTTTAATGCATCTCTTTTGATAGGCAGGTGAATGAATGTGGCTATCATTATGCAATCACACAGCTGTGGAACTATTTATCAGCCACACATCATGCCCCGTGAACCCTGTGTGCTCCTGTCCCCCTGCACTGCCAGCCTGTCCCTGTGGTGCACAGAGAGGGTTAAGCAGGATGAAATCCCCCCAGACAGGCCCTTCCCACATCCCACTTGCACAGCCCATGCAGAAAACACAGAGCTGCTACTGGGACCCGGCACTGCACACCTTGTTCTGAGCTTTTTTTTGTGCAAAGGCCTGTGTCAACACCAGCTTTAATCAGTTATTTCAAGATAGATGTGCCTCGTTAGCATCAGAACAATG